AAAAACCATTTACTACATAAGAAATAAGTGTTGAAGTTCCTGTAAATTACATGATTGCCACTAATTAACTTAAAACAAGCCCATACAAAAAACAAAAAACAAAAAAACAAAAAACAAAACAAGCCCAGCAAGCCCGAAGTACATTGTTAATACTATGTCACAAAAGTGCGTTGTTAATACCATGTTATAGAAGTAAATTGTTAATGCCATTTCATACAAAAAATTTAAATAAATAAAAAAAACCCCCCAAAAAAGCCGAGCAAGACATCTGATATCCTTTGCAGAAACCACCTCCAATTGTCCATAGTTTCAACAGAAACAATCACAAAAGCAAAAGGAAATATCTCTACAAGAAAAAAAAAAGTACACTGTTAATATTATGTCATAGAACTATCTTCCTAGTAAAAAACACATTCTGCATATCATAAACTTCAAGTGCACATCTATATATAGAGCAAAATATAGAGCATGCTTGGTTACTGAAAATATGTAAATACTATGTCATAGAATTACACTATGTAATAGAAATCAACTCAATTGCAGGGTATGAACAATATAACAATTGTTCATACCACTTACTGGAAGTTAAACTGTTCATACCACTTACTGGAAGTTAACAAATGTTCATACCACTAATAGATGACAAATTGTATACTACAAATCAACTTACCAGCTTTGGTCATTCCAATACCACTATCAATAATAGTCAAGGTATTATTGTTTTTGTCGGGAATGAAGAGCTCTGGCTGACCATCGAGCTTGCTCTTGTCAGTCAAACTCTCAAATCTAATCTTGTTAAGAGGCTACAAACCGAGCATGACATAATGAGCCAAAGGAAATTCAATTCAAACAAAAACATTATCAAAAAAATTTATTCTCTACATAGCTTTTCCACATCAATTCAACAAGAAACAGGAATGTTAAAGACTTTTTATAAAGAAATTTGAAAAGCATGCGTGTGACATAAACATTAAAAATAAACCTTCTTATATTCAACTTACAAAACGTTTTAACACATCTCTTTTAATAGGCAAACAGGGATAGCAAACTTCTGATAGTATGAAAAACTCAAATGCCCAGTCGACATTCATTATCACTATCATTATCATTAAAAATGAAACAAATACTCAAAGCACTAATCAAAACCTTAATGTGAAATCAAAACCAAGAAATCCATAAGCAGATGAGCTACAGTGTTTTTAAGCCATAAGAGAACAACTAAATAAAAAACCCTTAATATTCTCAAACTTTTAACTAAAAAACTAACGACGACTAAAGAACAAAAAAATTAGTTTTCTTCCATATTGAAACGATCATAAACCACAGCAAAAAAGTTAACATGTTCAGATCTCTAACCTAAGCCATACAAACTTAATTGTTGAATTTAAAATGTTCACAAGCCAAACATAAATAACACAAGCTTGTTGATAGCCAGGAGCAGAACCTTCTCAAAGTTTTAGCCAAAGATAGGAGGGAAGAGCCGCATGCTTTCACAAGCAACCTGCCACGTATATTTCATCTTCATTGTGTCATCCAATGTCAGATTTTCACCTGGTCTTTTGCTTCTCATTATCTTAGCATTTCCGATGGGAAATGAAATGAAACTCATTGATAAGCTTGTTGAATGCTGAGTTTCTTGGATAACAGATTAAACTTATTTTTGCTGTCAATTAAAATAGATGAACTTGGACTGCATGAAAGATTATATACCTTTAAGTAGGAAAATCATTGCTGACATTGAATATGAAGGCTTCACCATTCCCAAAGGATGGAAGGTAAGTATGTGTTCTGCTTTGGCCACACTACAATTTTATGCAGTAATTCAAGGTTGCATTCAGCTGTGCTTTACTCCTTGTAGAAAGGATCCTGATGAGCTCCACATCATCGTAGGCAATTGCCTGAGATTTTCTCATGAAGTATCTTAGCCTCTTTCTTTGCCAAGGGCACACTGATCTTGTTTGTACCACTTTGCAAAACCCAAGGGAAGGTGTTGTATAGTAGTGTAGCTCGGAAGTCAGAGTGTCGTTTCCACAGAGAGCGGTGTAAAGAAAATAACGGAGATGAAAAAGAACAAGTGTGATTGAGAAGTAGATTTATGCAAGATTTGATTTAAAGAAAATTTAATTGATTAAAACACTAAGGCATTGGGGTTCCACTTTTAACATAAGCATGCAACTCTTATTAATTTGATCCACAAAATATTTTCCATTGTAGTTGTTCAAAATAATTAAAGCTCTTTTTAATTTCCTTTAGAAGTATTCTAAGCATAACTTGTACCATTGGCAACAAACTATTAAAAAATAATCTTCGTCAAAATTCTATTAATCTAAGTAATTCTCTTCTCTTTTAAAAGCATGAAAGTTTTTACTACACAATGGGAAAAACATGATTGAACCCATGAAATAGATTATCAAACATTCATCAATTAATTAAAAAGAAAATTACAAATTCCATTTGAACAAAAACTACAATTTCACATTAAAGCTTAAGTTTGGATCAAACTAATAAAAATTACATACTCATATTAAGGAAGGAGAGAGAGCTCAATAGAGGATTGTAACCTTGGTGTGTCTTTTGAAGCTTCAAGACTTCTCTATTTATAGGGCTAAAAAGGAGAAACATCATGATGGATTCCAACACCACCATTTCTATTTTAATGCAATACCTAACTCCCACTTCATCTTGCCTATGTTAGTGTGGTTGAAATCAATTCCATTGTTGAATTGTTTTCTCTTTTTCTTCCTTTCCTTGTGGCTTTTATCATCTTTTTAGATAATATGCATTGAATTTGAGCTTCTTTGGAGTGGATGACACCTTACAAGCATGTGAATTCAATTTCTTCTTGTTTACTTCCATCCCATACTTCTTTTCCTTTCTTCTTTTGGCATGGGTGTGGCATTTCATGCATTCAATTCTTTTCTTCTTGTGCTAGTTGCACTTCTTCCTTCATCATCATTGCTTCATGGGTATGTTGAAGTTATTTAATTGGCCACTAGCATATTATCTTTGGGTGGAACACTTCTTGGCATGCAAATTGAGTTGGTTTTCACAACACACAAACCTACATAGGAAGTCATTGATCGAAGTTAATAAAATGACATTAAACCAATTTGACCAAGTAAAAATATAATTGCACAATATTATTTAATTACTGTTGCATCGATTCAGCTGCACCAAAATGGATTCAGCTGCATCATCAACTTGTGATACTAGCAAGTGCACGAGCCGTTCGGTAGTATAGCATATGTAAGTGCGAGGTCGATTCCACAGGGATTGGTGATTGAATCCAATTCAGTTTTCCTACACAAAATAGAAAAACAAGAAGGAATATAAATAAAACAAGAAAGAAAGAAAAGAAAATAACTCAAGCAGATAAGTTCCCAAGTTCAATTAGATTAACGGATTAATTCTAGCTAAAGTATGATTAAGGAATGGTGTCTGGTCCTAACCTTGTATTCCTAATTCCCTAATTTGATCATCTATTGTCTAACATAAACTAAGCATTAGGAATCCATTAAGCATAGAAGAACATTTTAAACAGCCAAGTATGTATCTAATCCTTGTTGTCGAATGTCCATACATACTCTTCCTATTCATAGTTCAATTCGAATTAAAGCATGGTGTCTACTCTTAATTCAAACCAAGGTAGCTAACATGCAAGCCTAAATGGTGATCAATCATTCAAACTAGCATATTAACTTATAAGCATAATGAATAAGAAAAAAAATCAAAATTGAAACTTGGAAACTAATCAAACTTGAAACTAAAGAAAAGAATTCACATAACAATGAAAAGTAAAGTGGAACTAAGAAAAACTTAAGGAGAATTTCAGCACAAAGATTTCATTACAACAAATGACAACTAGAAAGAGAAACTAAGAGAATTTGAGGGAGAGAAGGGAAGGGAGCTCTAGAGAAGTGTTTGAGAGCTCCCCCCCCTTGGGGTGTTATTACAAGCTTAGAGAACTTCCCTATTTATAGGCCTAGGGGAAGTGAAAATCTGAATTCAATATGACTAATGCATACAACACTTGTATTATAAAATCTTGAATTGCCATGTGAGTTTTCTTTTGGTTGCTGGAAAAAACGATTCTTCTGAACCAGGCTTGGTTTAGGAAGGCCTGAGGTTTCAATATGTATCCAATGTGGCTAAAATTTGGATATGTCATAATAGACACTCATTGAAACAACGTTTATGAAGAATGTATTCCCATCTGAGCAGTATAAGTGTATGTTTTGGGCCTTTCAAGTTGACTGCCGAAAATATACTGGAATTGACAATGCATATCTTTTCTTTCCTTTCTTTTTGGGCTTGATCTTCCCCCCTAAAAAATCTGGAAAAATCTGGATCTTCAAACCCTTTGAATTATCTTTCCAAGCATATGCAGCCCAACTCAAGAAAAAATCGGAAAGACCTTCAAATGTCATTTTTGGCCCAGTAACGCAGATGCTGCCGAATTTGACCTTAAGCTGCCAAAACTTGCATAACTTCCTCTAGGAGACTCGGAATCATGAACCGTAAAATGCTCCAGAAACTAGACTTCTGCATCTTTCCAATGATATAGGGCTCATCATCTGGTTCATCCTAAGCAAGTACAGTACAATCCATGAAGTTGACAGATTTGCAGACACAAATGAGCTAACTTGTCTCCAAAATGTCTTTAATGAGTCTCAAGCTTATTACACTGAAACAACACACAAAATTTATTAAAAGCATAAGTTTAACTCAAAAACATAACCAAATCATAAGTTAGAAGGATACAAAATGACATGTAATTATGCACCAATCAATTACCCCTTATATTTGTTTTGAAATTAAATGTTAAGGGCAATAAATATGTGTTATTGTGTTATTATCATATCTCATCTCCCTCGTATCGGTAAGTTCTCAAAAGAGGAACCAAAAGCTATGACAGAATCAAAAATCAGAGCAAAGGAAGAAAAAATAAATTCTAGGCAGCAATGTAGTTGAAGGTTTGTACCTTGCACACGTCTCCAGATCTACGGTATGCAACATCTGGCTTTGGAAGAATCGCCGTCGTCGGCGTCAGCGAACAGGAGATCCGGGTTGAAAATCGGGAACACTAGATGGATCTGGCCATCTTGGAATATATCGTCGGTGGAAATCGGGGATCCGTTAGGGTTAGGGAATGTGAAAGAAAAATCGTCCTCATCTTCATTCTTCTTGCAATCACCACCAAAGTCAGCGTTCTGAACACCTTTGTTCTCTTCCATTTCTAGCTTCTCCTTCTCTTTATCTAAAGTTGCAGTTTTAGGGTCACTGAATTCGAAATCGCTACTAGAACCAGCGACTTTGAGCTTGGAGTTGGAATATGCAGAGAGCTGCGCGTATTCAAATTTGTTCTTCGAATCGTACGAATTGAAGCTTGGAGACAAAGACAATGCCGAAACTGCTTGCATTTCGTTTTGTTCAATCATAGCCAATTTGGGGGTTTTGAGAGTTTAAGGCTTGAAACGAGAGAGAGAGAGAGAGAGAGAGAGAGAGAGAGAGAGAGGGGGGTTTGAGGGTTTGAGGCTTGAAAAGAGAGAGAAAGGGTTGGGAACTTGGGAGTTTAGTGTTGAGAGTTGGTGGTGGGGAGAGAACATGTCAGAAACAACATGTCAGAAAGGTCACATGCTCGCTTTGGGTTTTTCAATATGAATTTAACACCAAAGGGTAAAATCAAAAATTAGATATTAAGTAAACCCAAAAATAGATAGCTGGCAACAATAGGGTGTATTTGTAAAGTCTATTTCATGTAGGATAGGGTGTGTTTATAAAGTCAGTTTCATGTAGGGTTTCTCTATGATTCTATAGCTAAAAATGGGTTTCTTTATAGTTATCTCAAATTTAATTAGGACACCCAAAAGATTAGACAAACAACTTAGTAAATAGAAATTAATTATTTTGTGGACTTTTTCTATAATTTTTTATATATTAAATAACAATTAAAATATAATTACTAATTAAAGTGATTCAAAAAGCCTAAGATATTACTTAATTACATATATTAAATTAAAGAAATAGGGCAAAAAACAAAAGTAAAGAAACAAATTATATGTTTTTTTTTAAACGAATTAAAATTTCGTTTTAAAAAAAGGACGTGGCCAGCGCGTAGGTGCCAGTACCACGTGTGAAAACAGTTTTCAAAAAAGGAAAAACGAGTATAGCCGCGCGGCTATATTATTTCTTTAAAAAATTCAAAAAGAATCTAGTAGGCTATACTATTTATATATGTATATAAAGACACGTCCAGTGCCTATGTGCCACGTGTCAAACAGGTACTGCCGAACGACTATACTACTTTTTGTTTTAAAATTTTTAAAAAAGAGTAACGCCGCGCGGCGATATTATTCTTAAAGACAATTGGGGAAAGCTGAGTATAGCCGCGCGGCTAGACCATTTTAATATATATATATATATATATATATATATATATATATATATGTATGTATATATATATATGTATGTATATATTATTTTTATTCGATAGTATGTGAGAATTATGTGTATAATACGTGAATTTTGTGTGTCTTATTGAAATTTTTGTAAAAAATAGGTGTATCAAACATGAGACATACGTGCATACGTGTATAATACATTATTAAACGTGAAGGTGCTAGAATCTTAATACATGTAATAACTCTAGAAAAAGAAAAAAAGAAAAATGGACAATAGATACTCGAGTAATGGCCTAATAGTCATGGATAGGGCTCTTGGGCTATGGAGAAATTTAATTTGGACACCCAAATGATTACACAAAAGATTTAGTAAATAGAAATTAATTATTTTGTGGACTTTTCCTATAATTTTTTTATATTAAATAACAATTAAAATATAACTACTAATTAAAGTGATTCAAAAAGGCTAAGATATTACTTAATTACATATATTAAATTAAAGAAGTTGGCCAAAAAACAAAAGTAAAGAAATTAATTATATGTTTTTAAAAAAAAATTATAAAAAAAAACCTCCGCAGATGAAAGTTCGTCGGCACAGGTCTATGCTGGCAAAATTCCCCAGATAAAATTTTCTTTTTAAAGGCTATAACCGCCCGGCTATACTATTTATATATTAAATATTTTAAATTATAGAAGTAGGCCAAAAAAAAAAGGAAAGAAACTAATTTTTTTTTTTTTTAAATAACTCTCCCGACGAAAGTTCGTAGGCACAGGTCTATGCCGGTGACATTACCTGGATAAAATTTTCTTTTTAAGGGTTATAACCGTGCAGCTATACTATTTATATTTTAAAAAAAGTCGAGCCTGGCACGTAGGTGCCACGTGTCAAAACAGTAAAGCCGGCCGGCTATACTATTTCTTAAAAAAAGTCAAAAAATCTAGTATAGCCGTATATTTATAGAGACCTGCCCAGCGCCTATGTGCCATGTGTCAAAAGAGTAAAGCCGACCGGCTATAATAATTTTTTAAATTTTTTTAAAAAACCAGTAAAGCCACGCGGCTATTCTTATTGGATTGGTACACTATATCACAGAACACCCTAAAATCAATCCTAAACCAGATTTATCTTTTTACATGAATTCGTGCCCTCTTTTCAGATTTTGGGTTTGCATCAAAATCTTTAATTTCATATGCTTTTGTGGGAGTAGATTTGCTAGCTCCTTCAATTCAGAGATTGATTCTTATAAATCCTTGTGATTTTCTTTATTTATTTCTTATTGGATTGAGCTTGTTGCCCTCCAAATCTGTTCTATCATCTCATGAAAGTTTTATGGGTTCCTTTTTTTATCTTTTGGGGACGTATTTGACATTTTATTGTTAGTATCTTAGCTTGAGAAAAATGTTTTTAAACTATTGATCTCATGGGTATTTTCATGCACATGTTTGGGGCCGAAACTTAGTAAAACCACAAAAAATAAAATAAAAAAATAAATAACAAAAAATTTCATGACCTTATAGTTATGTAAGATATTTTGAAGATGTAAATTGGGTATAGTAGGTGGATCGTCAATATACGGTGTATACCTCACATGGTGTATAAGTGGATCAATCTATCTTGTGTTGATAAAAACAGAATGAAATGTTTGGTAAAAAGGATTCGAATGGCCATCAAGCTGCACACTCGTACTCTGCAAATCTAGATTGCATGCATAATATATCACTCATAATTTCTATTAGAGAGATTGGGATTGGTAGGGGAAGATGACGAGCCAAGCATGCGGTAAACATGTGCACAGAGACATTTCCTTCCAAATTTGAGGATGGATGTGTTGGGAAAATGGCTCACCTAAGGATACAAGGTTGGTTTTGGCGCTGAAAGGAAGATTTTGAATCTGCCTAAAAGCGACCGGTCGCTAGGCATTTGCGACCGGTCGTTTTGAAGCTCATTTGTCCAAACAACATAACTAACAATACAAGATAAATACCCATTTTACATAACTCTGAAACCCCAATAGGATGCTATATAATTATAGATAAATGAGGGGCTGCTCCTGTATTGCACATAGAAGTTTTTCCCCTTCAACTTTAAATTATAAGCATCTGCTTCCAGGACATGCAAAGAATGATTTGGCTTATCTAATGGAAAACTAACTTGTCTAAAGTGTATATGGTACAGAATTACGAATCATGCGGCTGCAGACTGTTTGTCTTCATGGTCTTCCAGATTCAAAGCCTGAAGCAGCTTTGGCCAGGATTCAGGAATCCCACCAGGAAGATCAAACTCTAACAATTTTCCTCCACTGCGGCAGAACCCCTCCACGGGGTGACTCTGCAAGGACAACATGATATGTGAAGCACAGATTACAAATTGAACCAAAATTAAAGACTGTTGTTACAAAAAGACTAATTACATAAATAAGTATTGATTGGCCAGTGTCCAAATGTGAACTCGTGACAACAAGGAGAAGGTCCATCTATTAGCCGATGCTGTTCCAACGGATCAGTAATGACAAAGAAATCTTCTCAAGCATGAAGAATGGGGAGTATATTATGGGCGGTAGTGCTTCAGTCATATTATTATTAATATATTTCAAACTTAAAAATAAATCTTCTAGACTCGTTGGTTGACTTCTTAAAAAGGAGTGAAAAGAGCATCCCAAGATATATACGAACTATTCTAAATGAGATTCCAAACAACGTGCTAGATGAGAAGAAGCATCTAATTCTTAAATATACCATACCCACGTGCACTTGAAATCCCAATGTTAAGAGGGGAGAAAAGTGCAATACCTCTCTTGTATCTCGCAAGCGCAGGAGATCCAACCTTTCATGAGGATGCCGGTTTGATAAAGAAGCAAGCTGCATCCAATCATACATTAATACCAGCAATCACAGCCCACAATATGCTCAATTTTAATAAAGAGAAATATAAAGTTACCCAGAAGCTGAAGGTTTGAGTCTCTTGCTGAAATGGCCCTATATCTTTCTAGGGTAATGTACCGTGGAAAGGAAAAACACAAAAGAAGAGCTTCTCTTGGAGGACAAAGGAAAAGAAAACAAAACAAGATAAACAATACAGGAAAGAGGCATGGACTAACAACATTTAAGGGTGCTCAGCATCCCCGATTAACATCTCTAACTAATCAACTGATATGCTAGCTGTAGAATGTAATAATATAAACAAGGCTGAATGCCCAATTCGCACTAGCACTCATCTTTAATTCTTGGCAAGTACTACTACTAAGAAGTCAGAATTGTAATTACTAAGAAGAATACCTACACGACCATTTGCAGCAGATGCATGCAAGTAATTGAGCTTGAAATCCACCCACTATTAGCACATGTATCCATCATGGCCTGGATGATTAGCATACTTTGATCCAATATTGACTTCAAGTATGTGACGTAGCCACTGATTGGTAATCCTAACTGCGAGAAATGTGCCTGAATGCAGAATTCACGCATGGTAAGAGAATAAAACGATGAGAGAACCAAAAAGAAAAACGACATGAAGTTTTTATTCGAAAAACATATAGTTGAAGACAACTCTGACCTGAAATAGCAGATTGGCTTCGACATGGTGATCATCTAAGTGGTCCTTATCCACTTTATATCAAACTCAAGTTCAGTATTGTCCAAGCCATAGTAAGCTGAATTATACATCTGCAGAAAACTATGCTCATGTAAGATTTTGTAAGGGCTCAATAAATCAAATACTAAGGACACAAAATAATAAAAACCAAAGGCTTTTAACTTGTGTCTTCACCTCATTTAAGTACAAGAGGATCATTGCCACAGCAGCAATGCAAATGATGGGCGTTCTGAAAGGAAAATGGTTTATTGATTAGATATAGGACTGCAAGACTTCATCCATTGACTTTATTAAATTTTGTTAGTTTGTAGGAGGTGAGTGATGTGTGTTGCTCTGATACCACTTGTTGGATTGTTAGGGGAAACAAAGTGATTTTATTAGATGTGGAGAATAGTACATGGCTTTGTGCAGGCTAATTGGCCTCCTTAGCATATTGGCTTATTGG